CCTGCTTCAGGCCGAGCAGCTCGGGGGCCTGAAGGCCAGTCCCTACTTCGCCTTCGTTTTGAAAGCAAATTACGAATATTACGTCCAGGGACAGGGGTGACTTCCGGAAACGGCTGTCATCGCTGGGAATCGGCGACAGCTTCGTGGGAAAACATTGGCCTTAACCATCGGGCTTTCTGTGCCGTCTCACCCTGTTCCGATGCGTGTCTTAGACTTTACCTGGAAGCTCCTGAGAGCAGCTGTGACCACCGTCCTGGTTTAGTGACATGGTGTTTCCTCTCCACCTTTTTCCGCCTGAACTGTGTTCGTTGTCCGGGTGTTCGCTGCCCATTCTGTCTCCTCCCTCCGCCCAGAGCGCTGAGCTCTGGTCCTGGTCCCGCTGCGTGTGCTCCTGGCGCGTCCAGGCCCCCGTCCCGCGGCCCCGAAGCCGGCGGGCTGCCCTGGCTGTCCCTGAAGTTGCTGTGGCTCAGGTGCTGCCCACGAAGGGGCTCGGGCCGGGGTCTGTCCTGCTAGGCTGTTGGGATGTTGGTAAGGTAAGGGTCACGTGTCGCTGACTCGTCAATAAAGTGTTAGATGAAATGACAAAGCAGAGTGGGCCTCCTTCGTGTGAGCGTGGTATCTGATGGGCTCGTTGGGAAAGCTTTAAACTGCATGCATAAGAGTGTTCAGGAGACTGTTTTAGGGCATAAAACACGTGTGGCTCGGGGTTTCCCGAGGCTGACGAGCTGCTGGCCAGGGCTTCAGTCACCTGACCCAGCTGGGGAGGAGCTAATAGAGACCAGAGCAGAAGTGAGTGACACAGAGACCGGGGGAAAGTAAACCTGTGACTCTACCAGGAGTAACTCCCGTGGCCATTTTGAAATACGCCTTAGGCTGGTGGGGGCTGTGCATCTGCCATACGCTGGGACTTCTCTTGTTGGGAGATGTTGTGAGCATGTCTGCGTGTCCCTAACCTGGCTCAGTAGCTCCCCCTCACCATCCGTGGGTTCTTCCGTCTGCAGCGGAACCGTGGCCAATGGAACCAGTCTTCCCACAGGGCTCCTGGCTGTAGATGAGAGTTAAGCTCCTACGGCACCTCATCAGCGCTGCAGCGAAAGGTGGCAGGAAACCATGCCATTCGAGGACCCGCTGTGTTTCTCAGCCTTTTTCCTGATCACTCCTTCCCAGGGGCCTTTGTGGACGGTGTTTCCTGTCCCACGGCCTCTGCCCCTCCCACCCCACCCCCCACGAAGGTTTAATCCCACAGACGCGCTGTGTGTCCTTACGTACCATGGCCTTTGGCGGCCACCAGCCATTGTGAGACCTGAGGCTTCTCGCTCCCCCTCCAAGGGCCAACTTCATCTCCTTTGAGCAGCCATGTTTTCAGGTTTCTTCAGGAGACATTTTTTTAATGACTGCAGGACACTACCCTATGGCAGCACTATTATTGAACAGCGCGCTCGCTCTCAGGAGTTGGAGGGACGAGGCTGAGAGAAGGGAGGTGTGAGCAATGGACAGCTGGCAGCTGAGGCTGCAGACAAGCAGGCGCTCAGCCCAGCGCCCGGCCGACGTGGTGTGGACTCTTCAAGGCTCTGGGCCCAGCCGCTCACTCGGCGGGAGCACAGCACTGTGCTCCCAGGGCGAGCACGGATGGAGGTGGCTTCCCGCCTGCTCCTGCCTCTGTCCCTCAGCCAAGAGTCCAACAAGACCCGAATGGGACTGAGCACCCGCTCCGAGGCCCGGCAGAGGCTAAGCCGGCCCCCTCTGTGGCTGAGCGCATGAGCTGTGTTCTCGACCCCGTCTTCCCGGGGTTGCTGGCCCAGAAGGCTTCTTAGCTGAGAGTTGTGTATTCAGTGCTCGCAGTGTGTATTTAGTGGACTCCGAGCTTAGCAAAGCTTCCTGTTGGGAGGGAGAGGGGGAGGAAAAGGTGACACATGTAATACTTTCAACAATAAAGATTTTTTAAAAAAAGAAAAGCTTGCTAAGGAGAGAGAGGAGTTGCCTTGAGCAAGAGTTTTGGAAAATATTAACTCCATTCCCGTTTAAAATGTCAACAAGTTATTAGGTATTTAGTGGATTACAGCACGTTTCTTCCTACCAAAATTGAAGCTATCCCCCCTGCTTTTTTTCCTAGTGTCTCCACTACCCATGACACAGCAGGACACAAGGATTAAAAATGAAATGTGGGTCTGTCCATTATTCATCGTCCTCCAAAACCATTGGAAAGGCTAACTGTGAACCCTGCCCCGGTAGCTCAGTTGGTTAAGCATCGTCTCCATGTGCCAAGGTTGTGGGTTCCATCCCCGGTCAGGGAGTCAACCAGTGAATGCCAACACAAGTGGAACAACAAATCTAGGTTTCTCTCTTCCTCTCTCTCTTAAATCAATTTTAAAATATTCTCAAAATAGACCACGTGTTAGGACACAAAACAAGTCTCTACAAGTTCAAGAAGATTGAAATCATATCAAGCATCTTCTTGGATCACAGTGGCCTGAAATTAGAAATCCACTACAGTAAAAACAAAAATGTTCAAACACACGGAGACTAAAGATCATGTTATTAAACAATGAATGGGTTGCCAATGAGATCAAGAAATAAATAAAAAAAAAACTTCCTGGGAACAAATGAAAATGAGCACACAACAACCCAAAATCTCTGAGACACAGTGAAAGCAGTTCTGAGGGTAGTTCATAGCAAGACAGGCCTTCATCAAGAAGCAAGAAAAGATTTTGGTAAACTAACCCTACAACTTACAGAATTAGAAAGAGAACAACAAGAAAAGACCAGAGTGCCCTGACCAGTTTGGCTCAGTGGATAGAGCGTCAGCCTGCGGACTCAAGGGTCCCAGGTTCGATTTCCGTCAAGGGCATGTGCCTTGGTTGCAGGCCCATCCCCGGTGGGGGGTGTGCAGGAGGCAGCTGATTGATGTTTCTAGCTCTCTATCCCTCTCCCTTCCTCTCTGTGAAAGATCAATAAAATATATATTTTTAAAAAAATGAAAAGACCAGAGTAAGTAGGCAGAAGAAAATAAGAAAAGATCAGAGCAGAAATAAATGGCATAGAGGCTAAAAAATAAATAAAATACAAAAGATCAATGTTATCAAGAGCTGGTTCTTTGAAGAGTTCGAGATTGATGGCCCTTTAGCCAGACTCATCAAGCAACAAAAACCTAGCTGGTTAGCTCAGTGGATAGAGCGTCAGCCTGGGGACTGAAGGGTCCTGGGTTCCACTCCCATCAGGGCACATGCCTGGGGTTGTGGGCTCCATCCCCAGGAGGGGGCGTGCAGGAAGCAGCTGCTCCATGATTCTCTCATCATTGATGTTTCTCTCTCTCCCTCTCTGAAATCAATTAAAATATATTTTTTCAAAAAAATAAACAAGCTTTCCTATTTAAAAAGAGAGAGAGAAATAGGACCCAAATAAATAAACATGTTTTTTTTAAAGGCTAAATACAGTAGCTTTGAACTGAGGACCCTTTGCACTAACCACACTCCCCGTTCTGGAGTGGACTTGGGTCATTTTTAGGAAACGCCACCCTCGGGGTGTTTTATATCCCAGAGGGCCCACACCTGTCCCAGCTGCCGGCTCCCTTCCCCAATGGGAATGGCGACTATTTTGGGAACACGTAGGCACTTGAGAAAAATGAACCATTCCGTTCTGGCCTGCGCCCCATCGCTGATGTATCCCCCAAAAGCACGCCACTGAGTTCATCCCCGAAGATTGCTTCTGCTTGTGTTCCACAGCGAGGTTAGGACTGTCCTTGTCCTGGGGGGAGGGGAGGGAGAATGTGAGGCAGGCAGCGCCCGCCTGACCTCCCGTGACCCCCACTCCACCTTCCCACAGGCAGATCCAAACCCCAGGAAGTTTGGAAGCATCTCCCTGAGGCGGTATAAATAGAAGCGCTCCAGGCTCTGCTGATGGTGACTCCAAGGTGGACAGGCCTTGGCCAGCCTCGTTCTCTAAATATAAAGACGCGTGTGTGCAGCCTGCGGCGAAGGAAGCGCTGCCGCCTGTCCCACACGCAGCGCCATGTCCTTGTCCTTGTCCTCTATCGACAGGGTGGCAGGGCTTCCGCCCGTCAGAGCGCCCACCGCCCGTGCGTCCCAGGAGGAGGCTCCGTGAGCCCCCCAAGAATGGGGGGGTAGGGCGCTCAGCTGGGCCCACCGCCACCTGGGGCCCCTCACCCCGCGAGGAAGAGACCCTCCCATACGAGTCACTTTTCCAGGCACCTCTGAGCGCGCTGCGGGTGGTCCTGCCCGCAGCCCTGGGTGCCCGGCTTGGTGCCCGGAGCTGCTGGCTGGACCCGTCCCCGGGAGCCCGCGCCTCTGCCCCACCCTCCTCAACCTCGGTGCCCGATGCCAGCTGTCTGCCCTGGGCAGCTGCCGGTGGCCCTCTCAGCAGTGGGGGTGGGGGCCAGCTTAGACCTCTTAGATCTGCCCCCCTGAATTGGGGCGCTCAGGGGTGGAGATGCAGCATGAAGTTCCCCGGGGAGGGGTCGCCTCCCTTCCCTGCCTGGGACCGGGACACACTGGGTGTCACTCCTTCTCTCATCTTCTCAGCACCCCCGGCCCCGACCACCTGGGACACGGCTCCCTCCTCCCTGTAGACGCCAGGAGGTTTGGGGCTGAGTAAGAACGCGAAGGGGAGAACGTGGGAGTCGCCGGCCGGAGCGCCCAGTGGGCAGCCCAATGCGCGCAGAGTGGACGGGGCGGGAGGCTTTGGGCAGGACAGGTGCAGCACAGGCGCGGCGGTGACCCTCGCTCCACCCTGGCCCCTCCGCGGGCACTGGGCCTGGTCGGGAGGGGCCGACCGGCCCCGGGAGACACTCCATATACGGCCCGGCCCGCGGTACCTGGGCGCGGGCCAGGCCTCTCCTTCTATGGGCAGCGCAGGGGACCCGGGCTGGGGCCCAAGGCGCGAACCGGGCGAGGGAGGGTCTCCAGTGCCCAACACCCAAATATGCTCGAAAAAGGGGAGCGACATTCTGCGGGCGGCGCGGGGGAAGGAAGGGAGCGCCACGGGCTATATTAGCCCTGAGCGGGGGCGCCCTCGGCCACCGCAGCGGACAGCGCCCCGAGAAGCCTCGCTTCCCTCCGTGGCAACCAGGGCCCCAGCCGGAGAGCGACAGGTGTAGCCACCGCCCAGGTAGGGCAGGAGCAGGAAGGGGACCGAGGGACAGGCCCCACCCACTCATGGATCAGCCCCACGCCCCGCCCTGCCCTCGGCCCCGGACCAC